TATACTTCTCATTGCTTACATTAGGAGGTCCATAATGTCTATTTGTTCAGCTGTTAATGTGCTAAATGTTTGTTCACTTGATTATGGTGGTGGTGGTAGTGGTGATATCCTTAGTAAGCATGCATTGTTTTTTATTAACTTTTAAAATTTTTAAGTCATTGTGGCATGAGACTTTGAGACCTGTGAATATTCTTTCCTCAGCAGTCATTTACCTAATTGTTTTTAGCATCAATTGTTGATATTTACTTAAGTAAAAAATTACAATTGGGGTTCAGTATAATTTCTTGATGTAAGTATCGAGTAGATACATCAGACTCTGTGCCTGGGAATTCACAGTGAACACTGGTGGGTGCCTAAAGTCAGGTGGGAGATATTGACATTAAAAAAAACCACACTGATATATGTTTATAGATTGTGATGATTATTATAGGAAAAAAGAATGCAGGGCTTTGAATGCTTATAAAGGGAGAAATCACTTCTTCTAGAGATTCAGGAATAACTTCCCTTTGAAAGTTCTATTTGATTAAGACTGAAATATGAAGAGTTAATGTGGACAAAGAGGGAGAGACTGGAGCCCTGAATGGTGTGTATTCTGAATGGTGTGTATTTCAAATGGTGTATCAACACCCATCATAATATCTGCACATATTAGGTGCTCAATAAATATTCATGGAAACTAGCCCATGCAATCACTGTTGTCAGATTATTTATCTTAAAATAAAAGGATCAGCTCCAAGGATTACTCATATTAACTCATTTAATGTCAAGGTAGTTACTATTAGTATCCAATTTTACAAATGAGGATGAGTCACAGATAAAGAACTTCCTCCAAGGTCATATTGTAATTAAGTGACAAGTGCTAGAATGAGAATGTGGGCAGGCTGGTTCTAGAGTTCATGCTCTTCTCCACTGTGCTATAATGCTTGCCATTACTTAACATAAATATAATAGATGTCTCAGACTGATCTCCAGGGACTTCCACAGTGTGATGCTAGTCTGCCTCTCCAACTGTGTCCTACTGTTAACTACAGAAATAAATCCTTGTTCCATTTCACTTATCCCTCAATAATCCTGTATCACTACATAATTCCTTCTGTATTTTTCCTAGTTTGGTATTTTACTTTGTATCTCCCCATCTAGACTATCTGTCCAAATTTTACATTCTTTTTAGACTCAGCTCACATCCATACATAATACTTTTCATGATCAGCCTATAATATGGGCTAATACCGGTAGCACTTACTTGTTAATTTTATTTGACAAAGGTAGTACTTTATGATTTAGTATGCCTTTTTTTATACATTATTAAAAGTATTTACTGCTACTTAGCATTGTTAATTCATTAAATTATAAACTTTTTGATGATAGGGGTGATGCCTGAGACTTGAATTGATCACAGTGCCCTGCATGTAGTAGGAGTACAATAAATTTGTTGATATGATTACTTTTGTAAAACTAATATTTTTTGTCCAATGAAAATAAAATGCTATTAAATATTATGGATGTGTACTAAATGGGCCTGTTTGTGGGCTGTGAAATTTTTCATTTGATTTTAACATTAATTCACTGTGATTGAGTCAATTCTGACTCATAGTGACCCCATAGCACAGTGTAGAACTGCCCCTGTGGGTTTCCAAGAGTAACTTTTTACTAGATAGAAACCTCATCTTTCTCCGGTGGAGTGACTGGTGGTTTGAACTGCTGACTTTGTGGCTAGCAACCCAGTGTGTTAGCACTATACCACTATTATTTTAAATGTGTAGTCTTCATCAAAATAAAATATGTATATGGACATTATTTTGATTTATAAATAATTTTTAAAACGGACAGATTATTTTTAAACCCTTCATAGGTGATGTAGCCTATTTATCTACCAGAACACACAAAAAGAGAAATTGAATTAATCTTGGTGAGAAATGTTTGAATAAATCATCTAAATTTTCTCAGCTTTTTTCTTACTTGTAAAGTGAAAGAACTTATAGTAGCAATTTTTTTTAATCCTTTTATTAGGGGTTCACACAACTCTTATCACAATTCATACATACGTCAATTGTGTAAAGCACGTTTGTACATTCATTGCCCTCCTCATTCTCAAAACATTTGCTCTCCACCTAAGCCCCTGGCATCAGGTCCTCATTTTTGACCACTCCCTCATGAACCCTTGATAATTTATAAATAATTATTTTGTCATATCTTGCCCTTCCAACATCTCCCTTCTCCCACTTTTCTGTTGTCCGTCCCCGAGGGAGGAGGTCACATGTAGATCCTTGTAATCAGTTCTCCCTTTCCAACCCACCCTCCCTCTACCCTCCCAGTATCGCCACTCACACCACTGGTCCTGAAGGGATCATCCGCCCTGGAT